AAACAAATTAAAACATAGCTATATTATAAATTTCATTTTATGAAATACTTCAATATGTTGTTAACCCTTCTTTATGAAATTTGAAAACATATTTGGACCTTATCTTTCTTCATCATCCTTAGAAAATTTTCTTTTTCTACAAAGAACTAACAAACAACACACTAAAACACATTTGCTAACATTTGTCCTAGTTGAGGTTTGTCAAGGAAAGGAATTTTATAAATAAGAAATACCTCTCAACATATTATTGACCATCATCTTATTCATTTATTTCTTCAAATAATTTTGCAGAGTAATTCTTTCCAGAAGCTCTCAGACTTCAGATTTCCCCCAATTAGGGGCCACGGTTTCACTTCACATCCTAGTATTTCTACTAAAACTGGATAACAGCCTCTTCCATGTCAATTCCTGCCTCACAACATTTAACATGGTTAACGCAGTAAGACATACATTTGAATGTAGTGAATCATAGACCTTCTGGTTCAAGAATAAACCTGCTTTAGCCTGTAGGGTTCAACTCAATACCAACCCAACCCATCTTGTAGTCGTTCAATTGTATTTTTTGTGATACTTTTTGAAAACTTTAGAGTCCTTAAGTTGGAAATTTGCTTATGGATACCAATGCATTGCTTCTCCAAAAGTGAAAGAAAAAACAAAAGTGAAATAAATCACATACTCATATTAGGGTTAGAAGTCAGACTAAATTACAAGAATACCTTTTGTAAGTGTAAGAGTATTATGACTCGATGGGTGGGATTAGCCAAACTTAAAACTTGATTTGGGTTAAATAATCAAAACTTTAACCTAACCCAACACTCGATTTGGGTTAAAACAAATATTGAAAGAAATCTTAAGATTTAAGGTTAGGGGTTAGAAGTCATACCGAATTACAAGATTACCCTTTATATGTATAGGGGTATTATGACCTGATGGGCCAGGTTAGCCAAACTTGCACCTGACCTGGGTTTAATAATTATAACTCTAACCTAACCCTACACCCTAATAATCCTGACCCTAGCCTAACCATGTAGGGGTGAGTCAAGTCTAATTAATTACCATACGAGATTAGCCACTCTCACTAGGTTTCAATTTGGATTGTAGTCATAACAATTAAACATAACTCCAGAATATATTATTTGAGTTGGCTTGGATTGATTTGGCACAATTAAAAATGTCATAAGGCTTTTTCTATTTCAATTTTGTGTAACAAGACTTGTGCATTGCAAGGCCTCAACTAGTATGTATGCATGTATATATACATATAAGAGAGAGAGAGAGAGGGGGGAGAGCTCTTACCCATTTTTTTTTATATTAACCTTTTGTTTTTGTATCATACATTTTTGAGCCCATCCATTTTGTTCAGTGGATAACTATAATTTCAATACATAAAATTTAAAAAACAATAAACATTATGAGGCATAGTAGCCTCAAAAGAATGCCATCACAAAACAATGGATAAATTGCTGAAACCTCCCCTAAAGTTTTTTACTGTTGTTGAAACATTCCTTAAAGTTGGTAATTGTAATCATCTCCCCTGAAATTTTTGACACAATTGCAAGTAGACTCCCTTTGTTAAAATCATTTAACAAGAGATAGAAAAATGTCCAAAATACCCATGCAATTATTAACGAGGTTGGTTTCTACAATAAAAACAATACAAATTTTATGAACAACAAAAAAAATGAGAATTTAAAGTTAAAATCCTTTGAATGATTGATATGAAGAGCAAATTTGGAAAATAAAACAATTTTGGAAAAGAGATTAAAAGGCTTGGGACAACAATTGATAAGAAGAAATAATTGGGAAAACATTTTGGCCAAAAGTAATTTTATGGGTATTTTGGATATTTTTCATGCCTCTTGTTAGAGGATTCTAACTGAGGGGTCTACTTGCAACTGTGTCAAAAAGCTAAGGGGAGGTAATTGCAATTACCAAATTCGATCAAAAACTTTGGGGGAGGTTTTTGCAATTTACCCTAAAACAATTTAATGGACATAATCTTACATTTACTTTAAGTTTTAAATAATGCTAATGTTGTTTGGCTGTTCAATTGGATAATGCCACACTACGTTTAAAATTTTACCTACTCAATCACGAGTGAATATGGGATCCACACTCATGAATATGGATAATTCCAATTCTTACCGTTGGTTGGGTGGAATATTCCATTCCTATTTTTAGTGGAATGACATTTTTTCTATCAAAGGGAATGACTATTCCCTCTCGCTCCATTGGGAATGAGAATTCATTCTAGCCAATTCCATTTTTTGTTTGAACCAAACCAAATAGGTGTAGGGGGAATGGGCCATTCTGACCCCGATTCTATAGATTTCGAATGCAAACCAAATGGGCCCTTATACATTGGAAACCATAAGTAGCATTGGGTTATTCACACATTTTTATTATTTATTTATTAAAGCCAACTGTTAGGGGTGGGCACAAATTGAACTTTTCACGAGCTATTCAAGCTCACCGTGTGAAAAACTCGATTCGACTCAATTTAAACAAAGCTTCAAGTTGAGCTCAAACCCAATATGTAGGATAATCTACTAATTGAGATGAATCGAGCTCAAGCCTAATGAAGTTTGGCATGAGGCTCGAGCCTATATTATATATAATATTTTTTAATTATGTATAATGACAAATAATTCTTATATGTATTGTTTTAAATTTTTATATGTATAATATAACAATAAATAATTATATATATTTTAATATGTATACTTTTTTGCATCTATAAATTTGTAATTTTTATATGAAGAATGGCTCAATAAAGAGATCAAACTGAGCCAAACTCGAAATTATGAGCTTTTGATCCAGCCAAATTCAAGCTCATATCCTTTAAACACTGTTATGTGGCACATAGACCAAAAAGGTTAAAAATGGTGATAGCATATGGTAAGTTTTTACATAACCCGAGACATTTAAAGCGAGCATTTTATTTTTATAAAATATCCCAACCTAAGAGAAAAAAAAAAGTAATTGGTGAAACCACTATGGACATGTTTGTGCTTATAAAAGTAGAAAGCAATGGTATCAAACACCTATTAGATTGTTCACTCGTGATTGGTTATATGACATTTCAGCATGGTAGTTGTAGATTTGGGTTTATTGGTTCATACAATAAGGCTCTCCCGACATAGTATCAGTGCTTGATACAGCAGGGAGAGTGCTAGCAATTCGCCATCTTGTTTGGTTCATTAACACAAGTATTCTATACATTATTTATATGTTTTTATCATGGTGCTACACAATGGGAGTAGCACATCCCCTATTCCCTTAGCTAGGGGTGATCATCAAAAACCAAAAATTGAAAAATCGAACCACAAGAATGAAATTGAATAAAAAAATCTGGTTAACTGAATCGATCAGTTGGGTTTTAATTTGGTGTTTTAGAAAATCCAAAGGTATTAATTTGGTTTCGGTTAACTAATATAAAAAACCAATGGTTAACTAAACTATCAGTATATATTTATATATATTCTATATTGTATATATTTTTCATGCATTATATATATGTGCTTTTTTATATATGTTATTTATTAAATATAAATATATATATATGCATTATAGGAATGGCAACAGGGCGGGGATTACATTCCCCATCCCCGACCCTGACAGGGATGAATTCCCTATCGGAAACCCGAATCCCCGATGTGACCATTTAGAGATGGGGATGGGGGACCTCAAGAGAGAGAGAGAGGCAACGGGCAATGACAGATGAAGGAATATTGAAGAACTGGGTTTTAGTTTTCAGTTCTTTATTCTTTGAGTCTATCTGTCCTCTATCAAGTGGTAGTCGGTGACAATAAATGTCTGATAGGCAAGTGGTGGTAGCGACGATGGTTGGCGAGTCAGCGACGAAGGTGAAGGAAGAAGAAGAAGTAAATAACTAGGGTTCAGGGTTCTCTATTTGTTGAGTGGTTTTTAGAATGAATAGTATTAGTTTTTGTTTTTAAGTTTTAATCTTTTACAAAAAATGAGTAATATATAATATAATAACATTATAATATAAATAATATAATATTATATCTATCTATCTATATATATATATATATATTAATCAGGGCCGGGGTCGGGCGAGGATTGCATTCCCCATCCCTATTCCCCAACCCAACCGGGGATTCAGGGATAGCCCCATCCTCGACCTCGACCCCACCAAAGTACCCCCCATACCCAACCCCGTCAGGTTGGAGAGACCAGGTACGCATCGGAGACGGGAAAATGGCCACCCTTAATGCATAATATATGCAAATATTTATATTTATAATATACAATATATCATATATTATTTATTCTAATACTTCCAATATATAGTTATATATTTATTTATAACATATATTAACAATTTAAAAAATTAAAAAACCGAAGAACCAAATCAGTGAAAAATTGGACTGACGAATTGATTAACCGATTGATTTCATTTTTTAGTTTTTCAAAAACCGATGATACCAGCTCAATTCGATAAAGGTCCCACGGTTTGGTAAACCGAACCGTGAGCACCTCTCATTGGTTGCTATTGTTGTGCCACACTGTCACGGGGGTAGTTCTACAGCGGAAGAAACCCGTGCGGCGTCCTGGCCAAGGCAGGCCAGGACAAGCCTTTAAGCCTGCCAAGCGTAGGCAAGGCTAAGCCTGTACTGAACCGTAACAACACTGCCACAGTTGGCTTTGTGGAACGGCACAACCCATAGATTCAGAACCAATTGGCTGAATTAGCTCGTTTCTTTCCATTTTAAAAGCAAAAAACACTAACATGTTTTTCTATTCTATTGATGATCTTTGACTTCCATATAAATATATTTTTTTTACTTTAGTTAGGGTTTGCGATGCGATAGCTGACCGTTGACCCGACCACGGGAAGAAACCGAACAACGTACATTAACATTACTGAAGCATGGTTCATCCAAACGGTTCAACCAATCCTTGCTTCTCAAGACAGTGGTTCAGATCGCTTGACGACCAAGCCTTGTGAGTTGTGTCTCCGACCCAACACAGGCACCACAACTCCCACCCATATAGTCTTCGTGGAACTCTAAGTGGGGAAGTTCCATTTCATGTTCATTTCCCAGTTTCAGTCTCTCTTTTCCTTCTCTTGTAGGCGAACTGTTCCTGCTGCTTCTTGTTACCAGCTAACTGAGGCTTTCTTCGTCCGATTACTCTCTTCCAGTGTCGCACCAGCAATGGTAGAGAAACCGAAGCCCGAGCCCCAGCCAAGTCATGCCAAAGACGAAGCTTATCTTGAATCCGTCATTCAGAAACGTATTCGCCTCTTCGAAGCCATCAAAGCCAAGCAAATCGAGGAGCGGCAACGCATAGGTGGAGAGCCAATTAAGTAAGAATAAAGATCCAAAAATTTTTCTCTCATTTATTTCAGTTCTTCGATTTCATATACTTCGTTTTGAGCTTCTGGTCTGGGTACTATCGGAACACTGTTCGTGTTCTTCAACCTTAAAAATGAATGGAGAAAATGGAGTTTAATTCTAAGCATTACTACGGATTTCAACCGCATTCTACTTGAAAAATACATTTCTTTTGCCATAAAAGTTTTTGAATACCCATCGGATTCCTTATTAAGTATGTTTTTTTTTCATTTTTTCTACTCTTCAACAATTTTCAGTAAAAATCAAGTCTAGGTACTTCATTAGGATGTCTTGTGCAAGTCGCTATCTTGAATTGGACCCATATCACATGAGTCAAGTAGAGATTTATATATGTCTGTGAACATTGGGTGAATGCAAAAGGACTCTTTCCAAGAAGAATAATTTTGTTTATTTGAAAGATGAATTATTTTGTAAATTTTCCATTTGTAGAAGTAGCAGTTTGTGAAGAATTTTAAAGTTTTGGGATCCAAGTTGAAGAATTACCTTGTTGGTTTTAAAGAAAAAACAAATTATATTGTTAGAAAATGGAAATTTGTTTTATGTTTCTAATAAATTTGGGTATCTTTACGTTGTGTAAATTATTGCCTAGTCGTCTTTTGACAATATTGATGTCATTCTTTTCTATTGTTACATTCGATATCCCGCCATCTATTCCCTTTGATTCAAGCATATGTAACTCTGGCAATTGTATTTTTCCTTAACTTCGTTTTTCTTTTGAATTTTCAGGATAACATTGCCGGATGGAACTGTCAAGGAAGGCAAGAAGTGGATATCCTCACCTATGGATATTGCAAGGGACATCTCAAAAAGTTTGGCTGCAAATGCTTTAATATCTCAGGTGGATATTTTTTATTTATTTATTTATTTTTATTTTGGAGAATTTTCCCTTTGGTTTTTCTTTTTATTCATAGGATCCAAATTCCAAATCAAGACACATGAGTCTTATGCTGTAGCAGGTCTTCTTTTTTGTACTATAGTTCAATCAAGGACCAGGTTATACAGTTTTTCTCCTTTTTCTTACATGATCTCCTGCTTTTGTAATAAAATAACTGCTTATTCTGTACTTATGTGGATGTCAGAATATTTGCTCTTACTTATTACACTCTGTTTGATGGGACATGTCACATCTTTAAGCAATTTCTTTCTGATATGAAACCAACATCTCTCTTAAATTAAACATTTGAACTTCCACTCCACCCATTTCATGCTATTAATTTTGAATGGAGCACAGTGGTCAGTTACTGGGTAACAACAAATATATATATATATATATATATATAAATATTTGATAAGTAGATAAATGGTGTTTATATTGTATTGATATCCATCAAAACCTGGGAAGGAACTTAAGATTACAAAAACTTTACAATGGAAGTCTGAAAACCATGTCTATGATATACATGAATTATCCTTTGTACATTGAAAGTTGGATTAAGTATTAGATCCTCTTACTGATTTAATCAAAGGTGAAACCATAAAAAAATCCTCTAAAATCAAGTATCATATACTTGGTAGAAGAACCACCTGGGTATTTGTGTAATTTTTCTGTGCAGTTTTTAAGTTAAGGTAATTTAATGTTCCTTTTTGTTAGATTGTGCAGCTTAGAAGGTTTTATTAATTTGTCTGCCCATTTTGATTTTTCCCGTCATACAGGTCAATGGAACACTTTGGGACATGTTGAGGCCTCTAGAAGGTCACTGTGAACTGAAGTTGTTTACATTTGAGACAGATGAAGGGCGTGACACCTTTTGGCATTCTAGTGCTCACATCCTTGGACAGGTGCTTTAGAAATTTCTTCTTACACATGAATTCAGTTATAGGCAGTGTTTTAAAAATCATCTGGGTCAAACAGGTAAACCCATAATGTCATAAATTATAAATAAAAACATTAAAATATAAATAGAAAAAATGCAGCAAAAAAGAAAAACAGAATACTGCAGAAAAGTTGTGTATTGTCTATAGTATTATATATTCATCATATTAAATAAACAGTGTAAAAATACGAATTATTGTTATTAATGATAGAAATAGCTAAAAATACAGAAAAATGCAGAAAAATAAAAGACTAACAACTTTCTGACCAGCTGATGGGTTGAATAGTTCAATGGTTTGACTGGCTGGTCACTGGGTTGTTTACTTAGTAAATGGTTTTTAGCAAAAAAGGCAGGTCAAAGTATAAAGGGAGTAAGGGACCTAGATTGCCAGCCAGGTGACAGGTTGACTGTCTCATTGATAACAATGGGTTGAAAACCTTGGTTATAAATATATCTCTACAAGTCAGATTTATTTGACCAGGAGATCCTGGGAAATGTTGATTTGGTTAAGATGCAACTGCATTGGGGTATATTGATGCATTCATGTTGAAGCATAATAAATGTATAATTTCTGAGCAAGGAACAACCATACCAGCTGGAAAGTTTAATAATCTGGATGCACTATGGAACTCCAACAACAAAAATTTGCAATACTGAATCTACTATAAGTATGTAGGCTTTTGGGGAATAAGGATAAAAGCACCCCTTGCCATTTCTCTCGAAGAGGCCAGCAGGCCTCAGATAAGCAATAACAAACCAACCGTATTACCAAATCTGAGACCAAAATAGAAAGGCAGCCAAGCTATGATAAATAGCATCCAGGCTGACCTACCTTCATACGACACAACTCAAAACACCAGAAAAGGGCCATTAACCAATAACCAATGTTAGTCCCAGCTATCTGAGGTCTTGGGAGGGTAGGTTTGGTATGGTCCTAACCTTTGGCATTTTTTTGCACAAAGTGGTTTTCTTCAGACTTGAACAAGCAATTTCACAAATGCCAGTCTGAGGTGTTACCATTACTCCAAGAGTTCAATTAATGGCTGCTACCCAACTCAAAATACCAGATAGAAATAAAAACATACCTACTGATTCAATCCTCACCCTAAAGGCCTAAACCATAACCTACACCCCACAAAACAAACTACACCAGAGATTTATAAACATCTATACAGTAACACATATACTCAATATATTTTTTTGATTGTTAGCAGTCAATTTTATTACTTGAAAGAAGAAGAAGATATGTTTACCGTATTACAGGTTTGATGAGAAGAGAAGAAAAGAGAGAGAGAGAAGAAAGAAGGGGTTCGGTGGTGAATGATCTGCTGCCCCATACACTTCTTTATTTATAGCTTTTAGGATCCTTACAAGAATAGGAAATAAACAAAAAAAAGAAACAATAAGGCCAACCTGCCCAACTTAATAGAAATTAGAAACTTCTAATAACAGAAATTAGAAACTACTATAAAAGAAATTAGAAACAACTAGGTGTGGGTATGAAACCATACATGCTAGAGCCTGAGTGTGGGTATGGAACCCCACACTTGTGGCTAACCAACTATTTCCTCACTCCCTCTCAAGTTGGGAGTAGATATTTGTCATGCCCAACTTGCGTAGATCTGTCTCTAATTTGCCTTTTGTGATTGCTTTGGTGAAGAGATCAAGTAACTGCATGTCTGAGGTAATGTAAGGAAAGCATACTTCTTGAGATGCGACTCACTCTTGGATAAAATGTCTGTCAACCTCGATATGCTTAGTCCTGTCATGCTATATTGGGTTGTGGGCAATATTAATTGCAGCTTGATTATCACAATACAACATTGGAGGCTTCTCATAATCAACCTCCAACTCATTAAGCAAGGATCTCAGCCATAACATTTCTGCAACACCATTGGCCATGGATCTGTATTCTGCTTCTGCACTGGAGCGAGCAACAACATTTTGTTTCTTGCTTCTCCAGGAAACAAGATTTCCCCCCACAATGCACAATATCCAAAGGTGGACCTCCTATTATCAACACATCCAGCCCAATCCGCATCTGTATACACTTCTATTTTCATATGACCATTATTCTTGAAGAGTATACCTCTCCCTGGACATCTCTTTAAGTAGGCAATGATCCTTTCTACTGCAAGGAGATGGGTGGTCCTAGGAGAATGCATGTATTGACTGACAACACCAATGGCATAAGAAATATCTGGTCGGGTTAGACAAAGATAAAGAAGTTTCCCAACCAGTGTCCTCAAGGAGTTCTCCACTTTCTGCACTTATCTTATGGTTAGGCTTAATGGGAGTATTAGTAAGTTTCACTCCTAACTTGCCAGTTTCTTCCAATAAGTCTAGAACATACTTCCTATGGAAGATGAAAATGCCATGCTTAGATCGAGCTACCTCAATTCCTAGGAAATAGTGTAATTTTCATAGGTCTTTCACTTCAAATTCCTTGTGAAGGTGTTGTTTAAGGGTTTCAATTTCACTAGTGTCACTTCCTGTTATCACAATGTCATCTACATAGACTGCAAGTAGAGTCAGGGAATGACCTATCTTCTTAAAGAAGAGAGTGATCTGATTGAGCTTGTATGTATCCGAATTTGTCCAAAGCCAGTCTAAACCTATCAAACCAAGCCCTTAGGGATTGTTTCAGCCCGTACAAGGCCTTCTTCAAAAGGCAAACGTTCTTTCCTGCTTCTGTACTATAAAAACTAGGGGGTAACTCTATGTATACTTCCTCTTGCAAGTCTCCGTTGAGGAAGGCATTCTTAACATCCAGTTGAAATAGTGGCCATGAGAAGTTTGCAGCAATGGATAGAAGAACTCTGATAGTGTTCATTTTTGCAACAGGTGCAAAGGTTTCTATATAGTCTATGCCATAAGTTTGTGTGAATCCCTTTGCAACCAATCTAGCCTTATACCTCTCTATAGTACCATCAACATTATATTTCACAGTAAGCTCTCATCAGCATCCAACAGGTTTCTTCCCTTCAAGCTGGTTAATTAGTTCTCATTTGTTGTTCTTGACAAGAGCATCCATCTCTACTTGCATTGCTTCCTTCCATTCAGGTAACAAAAGAGTTTCTTGCACTTTTTCGGGTATAAGAATAGTAGAAATTCTGAGAGACAATTATAGGAAAGGAACTTGGAGATGTAATGGGCAGTGGATGAGGTGCAACAACGCTTCCCTTTACGAATAGCAATTGGAAGATCAAGGTCATCTATTGGTGAAGGATGAACCTCTGTAACAGTGGGATCAACAGTGAGAGCAGTAGTAGTGTCTGGATCTGGAGCTATAGAAGATGTTGGGACTAGCTTGGATTGCTGTTGAGTACGAGAATCAACCTGCCTCCACCACTTTCTGTGATACACTCTCAACTCCTTGCATTTTTGACAACCATCTTCGCAACTCCCCCCCTTAGTAACCGGGACAGGTAAAGGAACTGGCTCATAACTCCTCAAAGAAGGTGACATCCATGGACACAAAGCGCTTCCCTGAAACTGGCACATAATAGCAATATCCCTTTTTGATTTTGTGCGTACCCAAGGAAAATACACTTAGTGGCTTTGGGATCAAACTTGGAGCAATGAGGTCCAAGGACTTGAACAAAACAAGTACACCCAAAAGTTTTGAGGGGAATAGTGAATAAGTCCTTATCTGGATATAGAAGACTGAACGGGGTTTGCATGTTTAGGACCCGTGAAGGAACCTTATTAATGAGGTATATGGCTGTACGGATTGCATCTCCCCAGAAGTATATGGGAACATTGGAGTTGAGCATGATGCTTCTGGCTACCTCTAAAATATGTCTGTTTTTTCTTTCAGCAACCCCATTTTGCTGAGGTGTGTGAGGATAGGTGCTCTGATGAATGATCCCATGATCAAGGAGATAGGATGCCAAGGGTTTTGCAAAGTATTCCTTGGCATTATCAAATCTAAGAATCTTGATATTGGTTTCAAATTGAGTTAGGATCATCTGATGGAAAGCTTGGGTCAAAGAGGGGACCTCATCTTGAGATTGCATAAGATAAACCCATGAAAAACGGGTATAGTCATCAACAAATAATGAGAAATATCTGTACCCCCCATGGTGGGAGTATGGTAGGGCCACCAAACATCGGTATGCACAATCTCAAAAGGAAGGTTGCTTCTTTTTTTACTTAAAGGATAAGATGATCTACTATGTTTTGCAAGTTCACAACTTTCACATTTTAACCCAGACACTTCTACTGACTCAAACAAGTTTGGAAAAAGACTCTTTAAAGACCCAAAAGATAAATGACCTAAGCGGTTGTGCCAAAGCATAGTTTTACTATAAGACTGAGAAACGAACAATTTCCTTGCTTCACTTTGCTCCCCCTGTGAATGTTCCAGCAGGTAGACTCCATTCATCTCAGAACCAATCCCAATCGCCTTCTTCGTTTCCAGATCCTGAAAAATACATCGATCAGGGAAAAAAAGTTACCGAACAGTTTTGATTTTTAGTAATACTACTAATTGAAAGTAAGTTAGCACTGAGCTTTGGAACATGCAAAACTGAGGATAGGGTGATGGTATCTGATAATCTGATGTCTCCCTTGCCAGAAATTGGTACAAGAGAGCCATCGGTAATAGAAACTTTAGCTCTGCTAGGGGATAAAAAATAGGTGCTAAATAGAGTAGATATGCTGGTCATATGATCTGAAGCACTTGAATCTATTACCTAGGAAGGTCTAGTATTACCTGGGACAGAAGCATGACAAGTAGTAGCTCTTGTACCTGTATGAGCAAGGGCTGAAGTATAGGCTGTTGAGTTGATATAGGCTGAGCTGAATTACTAAATTCATTTTCTAGCTGAGTCAGAGCAGCTCGGACTGCAACTAGGGTATCTAGAGGAGTGCCTCTTGTGCCTGATGAAGTTGTACTATCAATGTTGACAACCATATTAGCATTCCCTTTCTTATTTCTGAGCTTTGCTAGAACTAGATGAGGGTGCAACTTCCAACAGGTGTCCTTAGTATGTTTAGGTTTCTTGCAGTGTTCACATACTAAGTCCTTCTTTGCTTCTTTCTTCTCTTTATCCCCCCCAGATTTAGGTCTAGCTTCTACCAAGGCTGATTCGAAGGGCTGTTGCTGCAACATAACCTTTCTCCTAGTTTCTTCACTATACATTAGGGAATAGGCTTGTGACAAAGTCACACTATCTCTTATTAACAACTGTTGTCTCACAATATCATATTCAAAGTTCAGACCAGCTAGGATCTCAAAAACTCTGTTAGTTTCAACCTGCTTTCTATATGTTTGTGCATCTTTCTGACTCTCCCACTCAATTGTTTCAAGATGGTCAATTTCATGCCACAGGGATTTTAAGGTTGAAAAGTAAACAGAGACCTGCTTCTCTCCTTGCCTTAGATTTTTAACCTCACATTTTAGCTCATAAATCCTAGCAACATAAGAGGCTGAGAGTAGGCTTCCTTCATAACATCCCATATTTCCTTAACTGTTTTGGCCCACAAGTAGTTTCGGCTGATGTGGCTACATAGAGTTGCACAGCCATGTCATCACCAAAAAATTCTCTTGGACCCCCCTAGCATCAGTAGGGCCCTCCTTGGAGGGTTCCTTCACATCCCCTAGCAAGATGTTCAATTTTCCTCTACCCCCAATAGCCATCATGGCTGATTGGGCCCATTCCAAGTAGTTTGATCCATCAAACTTAACAGTTGTAATCTGAAAGGTGTTTTCAGTCATGTTATCTGAACCACCAGTCCCAAAAGCACCTTCCCCTTGGTTCTTGTACTCCATTCTAAGTTAAGAAGAGGCTTTAAACTAGTGTGACAAGAAAAAGCTGTATTTCAAGGCTGATAATAGCCAACTTTATGAAGAAAAAAGGCCAGAAAACTGATTGCTACCTTTAGTCTTCAAACTTGATCAATCGACTACTGTCAGCACCTTTGATCAAAGAACCAAGAAATCGACACCTCCAATCTTGATCAAGAATCGATCTTGATCACTCAATTCCTGCCTGATTCTTCCTGATTACAAGAAGCTCTCTCCAATCTTAGGACAGCTGCTAAAGCCTTCTTGCAACCTCCAAGAATCAGCCAAAATAAGATCTTTCTGAACTTTCAGCCCTAAGCAATTCTCATGTGGTCGTCTGAATTAAATCCGAAACCTGAGATCTAAGAAGAAGATGAAGAACTGTTTACTGTATTACGGGTTTGAAGAGAAGAAGAAGAAAGAGAGAGAGAGATAGAGGAGAAAAGAAAGAAGGGGTTCGGTGGTGAATGATCTGCCGTCCCATACACTTCTTTATTTATAGCTTTTAGGATCCTTACAAGAATAGGAAATAAAAAAAAAAAGAAACAATAAGGCCAGCCTGCCCAACTTAACAGAAATTAGAAACTAATAAAAGAAATTAGAAACAACTAGGTGTGGGTATGAAACCACACACACTAGAACCTGAGTGTGGGTATGGAACCCCACACTCGTGGCTAACCAACTATTTCCTCATTATTAATTATAGAAAGAGAATGTGTGTAAGAATACAATACAGTGCTTCCCTCTCTTGGGATCCATTGAACCTGAACTCTCAACTCTCTTACCAGCTTTCAGATATTCCATAATAGATTCTTATATTTCCATGGGCCTGATATCCCTTAATATGTATATTCTTATATTTCTTGATGGCACATGTAATTGCTGTTTTAGATCAGTCAGCCATTTCTGGGACTGATCTCAGCCTCCTGTGTGTATCTTTTTCTTAATAAATATTACTTTACCTTTTCCAAAAAAAAATATTCGATATTGGTCATTGCATATATTCAAGATATTGATAAAAAAACTACATAAATTGATAAGAAAAACCTTTTTAAAAAAATAATATTGATAAAAAACTACATAAATTGGCCATTGCAATGCGTCTACTTCTAAAAGTGAAGGGTCAGATATATATGCATATGCATGTAAAGTTGTAAATGTCTAATCATTCATTGAGAATGAGAGAATCATCATTATTCCCATGCAGATAAGTTTGTAGCCTCAAGTTTCTTGTTTTTTGTCTAATTTTTTATAAATGCAATAGCAATATAATAATTAGTACCGTGAACTCTTGGATGATGATCAGAAAGGAGTTCAGGGAAGTGCCTTTTCCTCTTGTTCTGTCTTATTCCTTTTTTTTTCCCTTTTTTTTCCCTCTGTATGTGCAACAGTGAAAATTGATTGCTTTACTTTAACTTTCTTAAGATCCTTTTTGTCCTATGTATAGCTTCTTACTGTACACGGTCTCTACTTTGTATATGTTGCTTTTATGACTAGATTAACAATGTCACTCAACCTTGTTTTGAAAAAAAAATGATTTGTTAGTTTTCCCCCTTCTCCCATGAAAAATGTTTAATGCAAGCAATCATACCTTTGACTTTAGCAAGCTCATGTTCTTTCTAACTAGATATTGGAGTCAGATCCGTGGGATTACAAGGATTTCAAATCAGAGGCCAACACCCTAATGAGCACTTCCACAAGTTTGATATCTTGTTCTCATGTTATAGATGTCAAGTTTGGATGAGAACTTGCTTGCATATATACTGCACCATATTTTGGTCTTAAGTTCTGTTAGCTTTTCTAATTTCTATTGCCAACTTGATTAAGTTCTTTATTTGATAATTAATTTCCTTTTGCTACTGCTTGTTTTTACCTTGAGATTTCTTGGTTTAATTGGATTTATCTTCTCTTGATTACAGTCCCTTGAGATGGAGTATGGATGCAAGCTATGCATTGGACCCTGCACCACAAGGGGGGAGGTAATGACATAACTTTGCTAGGAATTGGAAAGATAATTTGGGGGGGGGGATAATTTTTCCCTTTTTGGAGCTTAGTTCTTTGTTTAAGGCACTCATTGTCTTTTTCTCTTCTAAATATTTAAGCATCAGAATTTTTTTCTCTACTTAATGATTAAGAAATTGATGTAATAAATCTATAGCAGCATTTGGTCCTAAATCTGATTATTTATTATTTAGTTTTTTGTTATTGTCCTGTGGATTTTGAGTTGTATTACTTGTTATGCTGTTATATTTGTTTGCTTTTATTTGAAGTATTGTCCATATCTTTTGAAGCAGAAGATATCTTTTTTTTTTGATGAACAAAGATAGTTTTATTACTTCAAAAGATAATGGAGATCTCATACAACAGCCTGTGGAGAGGCACGAACTGCAGCTTCTCTCAACTGATTACAAAGAAACTTAAAAAGGAAAAGATAAGCATTACAGCTGAGCCCAAAACAGAACTTCCCTATTTGTCCCTTGCTTAGCTAAGCCATCAGCCAAAGCATTTGCTTACCTCCCCACCCATCATGTACTAACAGACATATTCCTTGTCAGCCACTTAAAATTTTTTGACTTCATTTCTGTAGCACCATATAGTTTCCTCAGGGTTCTACAACCACCCCACCACCACCTTGGAGTCCCCTTCTATAACAAGCTATCCTACTCCTAATTGATTTGCAAGTTGCACTCCTTGTATGGCTGCTAATAGTTCTGCTCTGCCTGAATCCCCAAATACCAAAGGACCTGAATAGAGAAGTACAATATCTCCAGCCCCATTTCTCAAGACCCCTCCCATTCCAGAGTGCCCTGGATTGCCCTGACTACTCCCATGAAAATTCAGGCGGTGGAGTCCATTTGTAGTTGCCTTAGTCTTCCTATAAGAGCACCTTGCTATTGCTAGCCAATTTCTCCATAAGTCTGAAAAGGAAAAGTGATGGAAAGCAGAAGATATCTTTTGAACCCATTCTTTTGAATTTCTGCTATAATTAATCCCTTAGGTGCAGTCACTGTTATTAGGCAGGAAAACACTGAAGAACTTCAGCTAAGGAAAACTCTCCATACATGAAATCTTATATGGAGCCTTGCCCAGCTCTTGTTTAAGGACAAGAGTGGAGATACATGTGATCCTTACAGTTTGGTCCATGTGGAATCAAGTCAAGAAATTAAAAGGATAATTAACAATGAGATATCAACCAGGCTAAACTATAAACCCAAGGACTGTTGCACTCCTTAATGATTTCAGTTGCATAAACCACCCCACTCCTAAATTCTCTAGATTTTTTTATCAGGAATTGCAACAATTTTATTAGTATGTAAAAAATGGTATATGCATAATGGAGTTCTAGAAACTCCCTTCAATTAGCCTAGTCCTACTAGCTACCCAACTGTTTTCCATACAGATCCCCCAAGGGACCAACCCCCAGAAAACTTGATTCCTAATGACTCCCTGTTGGTAGACGTAGGTATCCATTGTTTTGATTATCCATCTACCAAATTGTTGGTAGACGTAGGTATCCATTTGAACTTTTATTTAAAAGGTGCGCCTAGGTGCTTAGGCAGGCGCATTTTAAGGTATATGCTTCGCCTAGGCCCCATGTGCAACACTTTCAAAATGCGAGTGCTTGGTGTGCCTTGCACTTCAGCCCATATGTGCGCCTTTTTTTATTTATTTTTCCACTTTTTGTTCTTTTTTGAACCTAGCGGCAAGCCTAAAGAAGTCCATGTTAGGGTCTTAACTTCTTAATCCTTACACAAAAAATGATTTTATAATTTTAATTGCCTTTTTTAGTAAGACATTTTATTAGGATGAATATACAACATTTGCTCGCTCACCAAAGCTCCAAGAACTCCCTATTTGCTAATATTGCGTTCATTCATTCATCCTAATAAATTATCTTCTTAAAAGGCAATTAAAATTATAAAATCATTTTTTGTGTAAGGATTAAGAATTTAAGACCCTAACATGGACTTCTTGGGCTTGCCTCGAGGGGCTTGGTACAAAGGCGGTTTGTAGAATCAAGAATGCAAGATGTTTTACATTACATTAGCTATTTGAAGTAATGCAATTGAAAAAAAAGAGTGGTGTTTTACACGTTTGAAAATGTTTTATATGTTTGATTTTATTTTTAAATTTTAATTTGGATATGCTTGACATGTTATGTTTATGTATTTTTAAAACATTTGTTTTTAAATTTAAGTTTATATTTTTTATTAATATTATGTTTAATTTTTAATTTTTTGGCTTTTTTTTTGTATTTTTGCGCCTTGCTTCGAAGAGGCACACACCTTATGCCTCAGGCACAAATTGCCCCTTGTGCTTTTTTCGTGCCTTGCACTTTTAAAACACTGCATTTGCAACATGTTCTAGAATCTAGCTCCTCTTCCTCCTGTCTTATTTCCCTCATGGTTCTTTTATAAACCTAAAAACCTGTATTAATTTTCTTAACCATCCCATGACTGTTTGATTCTCTCACTTTCCAATTGTGATTGTTGAGAGGTTTACTTGGCTAACCTCAAACCATGCAGCACAGTCATCAGTTCAGCTCTTGTATGATTCTGCAGAAAATTTTAGAAGGAACCAAATTCCAAGATATAAAGCTCCATTCTACAAAACCCTCTCATGGACAATCCTGAACAAACAATGCTAGGTTTGCTCTAGAATCACCTAATGCCTTTTTTTTTGATGATTAACAGCAATACTTTATTAAAAAAAATTCAAAGAATGGATCATATACATAGTATGCGGTATGCAAAGCATCCCAAAAAAGTGTACGGCTGACTACACCCCATATTTAATTACATCCCATCTGTGCCCAAAATAGTTGAGATCTACTCACCCCTTGCTTGGCTAATGAATCCGTCAAACTATATTGGCTGATCTTGGAACCAATGAAAAACTTGATTCCATTTCTGCTGGCTAAGTGCTTTATCTCCCTCATGACATGTTGGTATTGCCAAGTCCTTGGCGGTTTATTTTATCCACCCCACCACTAGTTTGGAGTCCCCTTCTACCACTACATTCTTAAATCCCAATCGTCTCTATAGTCCCTAATCACGGTCCTTGCAGTACTGCTAATAAGTCAGCTCTATCAGAATTCTCATGACTGATTGGTCCTTAGTAGATAGCTAGTATTTCTCCTTAATTTCGGTATGCACCTCCTACACCCGATGGTCCCAGATTACCAGTGCTGCACCCATCATAGTTCAGCTTAAATTGGGTTCTCCTTGGTGGTAACCATTGAATTTGGGCTTTTCTCCTTGCTGTAGATGTTTCGGCTACCCAGTCTCATCTTCCCAATACGTCTTCTATAGAGAAAATGTGCAAACATGTCCAATGTCTTTATCCAATGCACAACCTTAACCACAAGATCCACAACATTCTAATAATTATTTCCTTAGTTTCTTCCCTTTCCCTTTGACTATTCTTTTATTTCTTTCTTTCCATACTGTCCATAGATGGCTGTGTTAATCTTCAAATGAAATACCTCCAAACAAAAAAGCCTTTTTGGGTAGAAGGTCCATTCCAGATTTCTTTCATCGAAAATTGATGTATTAAACCAGTGGGTGAGGTCCAGACAATGAAGTAGGAAGTGCATGAAAAAGTGCCCGAGGGATTGACATCCCATTCTCTGTGGTTTATAGAAGACAACTCAAGATACACCTTCTCAAGAATTTTCAACAAGGCCAAACTGTTAGGAACTTCACAATCTCTTAGATCCCTTCTAAAACCCAGGTTCCAGTTTGAGTTGGGGGATTGCGTAGAGATTTGGGAACCTGTCCTTCAAAGGACAAGACTCAACTCAAATATTCTCTAAAAAATTTACCCTATGACCATTGCAAAAATTATACCTGATGTGGTTTAAGAGGACAGGGCAGATGGAGGGGATTGCTTTCCGTGGGGAGTTTAAAGTATCTCTAGCATTCAAGCCAGCATCCCATCCATTAATCATTTTTCCACGAATATTCATTACCACTTTTTGTCACAATTTGTCCTCGTTCAGAGGTAGTCAAAAAAGCCATTTCCCAAGCAAGAAATGACCTAATGCTTGATAGAGTGGGAGTGTGGGACCTATATTTTTAGAGAAGTTGCAGAGTATAAAGAGGTGGGGGATTGGCTTGTTGCCCATTTAGCAAAGGGAGGACAAGTCTTGGATATCTCTCTATCTATGTCTTGATGTTTTTTGATCCTAATAGTTTGGGGACCTAAAAAAGAGGACAAGTTCTTAGTGCAATACTCTACATTAATCTCTCAAAAAAAGTTTGCGGACCTAAAAAGAACCTCTGTTTTTTTATGCTTCCTTGCAACTTATGTGACTCCTTATTTTATTTTATTTTTCTGAATGAGAGTGGTTGTTTACTACAAGGATGGCCGATTTCTCAGGTTTCTATTCCAGGAACTTCTTCTTGCATTACTTTGTACTTAATCTTTTTTACTTTTTTAATAAGAAACCTCTGATAATTTACTAACCACTAGAAAAAAGTTATGGAGTTTGACTGGATTAGAATGATTATGCACTAATATTTTTTGAACCTTTTTCACATGGTCAAGTTCCATGGAGCGCCTAATATTGTATTAGATTGCATATTTGTTTTCATGTATGTTATCAATTGATGATTCTAAAGTGCTTGGCATTGATGAGGTTTCAATTTCAAATTTAAGAGTGGACAAGCTATCTTGAAGCTCTACCCATTGCATGTGTGCCATCTTTTACATGTGGTCGAGGTTTTGATATAATGACATAACCTTTATTTTAGGAAGAATGCTGCTCTATGTGTAAAGGCTAAAGTTTCAAGATAAGAAGTTAGAAAATGGCCTTAACTGATACTGGCCTATGTGTTTGTTCTTGTTGTGTTGTGAATTCTCTTGCTTTGGATTTCTGTATCTAATACAAGAGTGTCCTATATGCATGTTTAACAGCTTTGCCTTTGTCTGCACAGATATTTGCTACATTTCTTTTTAGTGGGAATTTCAATCATATTTCAGCAAGCTTCTTACAAGATGATTTAATGCCTATTCACAGGGTTTCTATTATGATGCATTTTATGGTGATCTAGGATTGAATGAAGACCATTTCAAACAAATTGAAGCAGGGGCAATGAAAGCAGTTGCGGTACTGTCACTTTTCTCCCCTCAAGAAAGCTAGCTTTTGTGCTCATCTGGTCATATGGCAGTGTTTTTAAAATTAAGTATTTGTTTTGATTGTTTTAGTTGTTAGGAAGGTTCATTGGACTGCTCATTTGAGAAGATCTAAATGCCTTCATATTGCTGTAGGACCCAAACATTTTATTATTTCCTTTGTTTCATATATATACATACACATGCATGCATCCATCATACATGTACATATGCAGTGCACACTACAATTTCTAAAGTTATTGAAGTGTCTTTTTGAAGGACACCATTTTATTTGTCTTGTACCATAGTAACCCATCAAGAATCTAATCCAGTTTATCTGTCACACTAAGATGCTATTAAAGTTAAAATCACTTTCTTTTTCCTGCGGTAGCTTATATTAACGTGCTCGTAGTCCTTGTTTAATTGGCTTCTAACTGAAATGATTAATATGACTGAAAAATACAAGTTTGCTGCTCATCATTATTTATTTATTTATTTATAGAATTCAGCAATGTAAATATTTGTGTGGACATGATAAAGATCTGTTACCTAGACTATTCAGAATTTCAAGTTGTAAACGTACCTCTATAAAGAAATGAATAAATTTAGGAAAACATAATTTACTATCTTCAGATGCTACATTCTATTCTGAATGACATGGTTTTAAGCTGTCCCATTAAAATATTACATTGACCCATGGGGCGTCTCAAAGAACAGAAGAGGTTAAGTTAAAAAAAAATAGAAGACTCACATGTTGTGGAACTAGCAATACTTCTTCTTCTGGCCTTGAATTTCAGTTGTCCAATACCTCTTCTATCACTCTAATGGATGTTTGAGGGACCAATAGGTCATGCAACCTATTCAATGAGTAACTTATTACAAAAATATGTTTTAAAGAACTGAAAACTTAGGGGATGTTTGACAATGTGAATGTTTTTGTTTACACTTGTTTTCAAAATTGCTATCTTAGCCAAAAAGACATTCTCTAACTTTTTTATTTTCATATTGATGTGTGAAAACAAGATGATTTTATTTCCAAAAAACAAATCAAAATTATGTTTTCTAAAACAAAAATAAAATTTCAGTCTTCAAATATTTGAAGACAAAAAACACATAAACAACCACGAACATGTTTCTGTGCTTTTGTTTTGAGAAACAATCTGTTTTTAAACCAGATGATTTTGATTTGGTTTTGAAATTGGCAACAAGTTGATTTGCATGAAGGGAGGAAAGGAAGAAGGAAGGGGAGTCAATAAGCAAAGGGTCAGGTCTAAGTTGATTTGCGTTAAGATAATAAGTTGGAATGTAAGTGGTTCAGGAAGATCAAGAAAAAGAAGAACAATCAGAGAGCTATGGAGGAAAGAGAAGCCAGATATAGTAAATCAAAACTGTCTGATGTGGATAGAAGGTAGGCAAGAAGTATTTGGGCAGCTAGAGGAATAAGTTGGGCCTTCTTACAATCATGGGGGTCTTTGGGGGGAATCATCACATTTTAGAGAAATGAAAATTTGGAGTGCTTGGAGGAATTGATTGGAAATATCTCGGTTTCGGTCAAATTGAAGAGGAAAGAAGATGGGTTAGTCTGGGTTCTAAATAATGTATATGGGCCCTCTTCTTATAGGGAGAGGGAGGGTTTGTGGGAGGAATTAGTAGAAATAGAGGTCTTTGGCAGGGTCCATGGTGCTTGTGAGGAGATTTTACTGTGATTAGATTCTTACATGAAACAAACAATCCTAGCCATAGTATTACCTTGTGTGTGAGAAAATTCAATCAGTCTGTGGATTATAATGAGCTGTGGGAGCTGCCTTTGTTACAAGCAAATTTTACCTGGTCAAACTTTCAAGAGGCACCCATATGTTGCAAACCAGATAGATTTCTTTTCTCTTCAGATTGGGAGGAAGGTTGGAGGGGGATGGTAGCTAGAGCCCTGTTGGGAACCATGTTGGATCACTGCCCAATTAGACTGTCCCAAGAAAGAGTAGGAGGAGGCCCTTGTCCTTTTAGATTTGACAATATGCGGTTACTTCATTGTGACTCAAAGTGAGAGTTGTGGGAGGAGGATCAGGTGGAGTTTAGGTGGAAGGGTTATCACAAGAAGCTATAAAGGCTGAAGGTTAGGATCAAGGGTGGAACAAGGAGTTTTTTTTTTTTTTTTTTGTCAGAATAGAGGAAAGAAAGGATTGGGTTGCATACATGATATGGGATTTTGATGGGTTGGAAGGGGAAAGAGGTTTAGGGCTGGAAGAAAGGTGGAGGTTAAAACAGGAATTGGAAGAGATCTTGCTAAAAGAGGAAATTAGCTGGAGACAAAAATCTAGGCATAGATGGCTAAAAGAAGAAGGTGGCAATACAAGTTTCTTCCACTTGGTAGAAAATGGTAGGAAAAGGAGAAATACTATTGCCCAATTAGAATGGAATGGACAAGTTTTATCCAGGGAAGAGGATATAGCACAAGCCTTTTGTGGACCACTCAAAGCAATATATGCTGGCCCGGGTAGAGTGAGAGAGTTTAGAACACTTTGTTTGGAGGAGTGGACCTAGGGAGCAGATTGATGCTTTGGAGAAAAACTTTGAAGTCCAGGAGGTAAAAGAAACCATTTTCTCTATGGAGATGTCTAAAGCTCCTGGTCCAAATGGTTTCACGATGACTTTTTACCAAGATTGTTGGTGCTGATCTTTTGGAGGTTTTTGCTGACTTTTTTGAGAGGGGAAATTTTAACTCAGGAGCTAATGCGACGCTTATTGCTTTATTTCCTAAGAAGGAGGATGCAAACCAACCAAAGGACTTTAGACCCATTAGCCTAGTGGGAAGTTTGTACAAAACAAGGTGCCTTTGTTTTTGGGAGAAATAATTGATCAAATCCTTATTGTTAATGAGTGTGTGGATTACAAGAGGAGGAGAAAGGAAGAAGGCTTGGTTTGTAAGTTGGATTTGGAGAAAGCTTATGACTTGGTGGACTTGGAGTTCTTACTAGAAATCTTGAGACAAAGGGGTTTTGGAGTGAGATGGTGTAAAAGGATTAAGGGTTCCATATCCTCCTGTCACTATTCTATCTTGGTTAATGGAATAGTTAGGGATTTTTTTTTCTAACTAGAAGGGCCTCCAACAAGGAGGTCCTCTTTCCCCTTTCCTCTTCACCTTAGTAGCTGGCATCCTGAGTGATTTGATCTTAAAGGCTGATGCTAATAATCTCATTAAAGGTTGGAGAGTTGGGAGGGAAGGTGTGGTGGTTACACATTTACAATTTCTGAATGATCTTGTTGTTTTTTGTGAAGGGGAGAGGAAGGAAATGATCAATCTGAACTTCTGAAGAGGGTGGTAACCCATTTTGAAAGGATCTCTAATCTCAAAAATAAACTGGGGTAAGAGTTGTGTAGCAGGAGTAAATAAAGAGGGGGAAGAAGTGGAAAACCTTGCTAGGTTGTTGGGTTGTGAGGTAGGGGACTGGTCGTTACTTGGCATTACTGTTGGGGGGGGGGGACCCTAACTTTGAAAGCTCATGGTACCAAGTTCTGGAAAGATTCCCAAAGAGGCTTGCAGGGTGGAAATGAAATTATATCTCTTTAGGGGGAAAAATTACCTTGATAAAGTCAACCTTGAGTAACTTGCCAGTCTATTTCTTATCTACCTTCAAAATCCCTACTAGAGTGGCTAACCAATTGGAGAAAATGATGAGGGAGTTCCTGTGAGAGCCAGGGGGCACAAAGAAAGACCACTTGTATTTTCTAATCCCCAGATATACTATTAAAAAAATCCAAATGACCCAGACAACGTAGTGTGGGCTTTTGACTCCCTACTCCCTAGGGGAATTTTGTTGTTCCTCTGTTTTGGAAGCCTTAAATGATAGTCTCCTTTCCCCTCTGTTTTTGCCAAGTGATCTTTCAGATCACTACCTCTGTTGCTTTGCCAAGTGATCTTTTAGATCACCACCTCTGTTGCTGTCAGTCCCTGTTGTATTTTCTAATCCCCAGTTGTACTATTAAAAAAGACCCAAATGACCCAGACAACATAGTGTGGGCTTTTGACTCCCTATTTGGGGAATTTTGTTGTTCCTCTGTTTTGGAAGCCTTAAATGATAGTCCCCTTCCCCTCTGTTTTTTCTCCTGTAAATCTTGAATTATCTTGATTATCTACATCTCTTGCATTCTGGCTAGCTGCTTCAATATCCAATCTGTCCTCTCTACACATCAAAGGCATAGGGAATTTCTTTTCCAATTTCCCAAAAGTCTTCCTTGCATATTCCTCGTCTTCGATAAAGTGTAATCCCAGAACTTTACTCATCTCCATCTCCTTATCCACCACAATTTCCACATCTATTGTTCTCCCCAGCTTATGAGTTTTATCCATGATAAAATCTTTCTCAGATGATTCACTTATATCATCATTTTCAGCTCCAGCCTCAACTAGTGGTATATTAGATGGGTCAGGCATTCAAAAGGAGAACAGGATGTGCAAACTATTGAGAGATCAGTAAATGTGTTGTATATTTAAGGCTCTCATAAGACAGTTGTCTCACATGTAATTTAAATTAAATTGTGTTTATCAAGTTGTGGTATATTAGATGGGCCAGGCATTCAAAAGAAGAATAGGACAAGTGAAATCTTGAGAGGTTTTGGTAAATTTGTTGTATATTTAAGGCTCTTTCTACCTACCAAAATGGCTCTCTCACCTGATCTGTTTTACTTTATGAACTTACAATAGTTCAATTCAGTTATCCATTAATTGACTAACTGAATTACCTGACTGTCACACAGCAAGTCTTCTAATAGTAAATGCTTTTGTTTATATGCCGTGCAGGTATATCTCATCCTAAGCCCCTAATTACTGTAAGATTCTTAATGTGTTGCTTCCTTCATATTGCAGGAAAAGCAGCCTTTTGAACGCATTGAAGTATCAAGAAAACAGGCTCTAGAGATGTTCTCAGAAAATAATTTCAAGGCAAGTATTGCTGCCATATTTAAATTTTGTACTGCATCATTTGAAATACCTTTTGTAGTTTTTTCTTCTTTCCTTTTCAACTTGGCTATTCTATTGAATAATGTTAAGAGATAAAACTCTGGTTCAGATTGAAATCATTAATGAGTTGCCAGAAGACAAGACAATCACTGTCTACAGATGCGGGCCTTTGGTTGATCTATGTCGTGGACCCCATATCCCAAATACATCTTTTGTGAAAGCATTTGCTTGTTTAAAGGTGATTAAGAACATGGCATCCTGAAACTTGTACTCTTTGCGTGTAAATCTACTTTTAGTATTAATTGCATAGATGAAATTTCTAGGCTTCATCGGCCTACTGGAGGGGGAAGAAGGAACGTGAAAGTCTACAAAGAGTCTATGGGATTTCTTATCCCGATTCCAAACGTCTGAAGGTTTGTATCTAGTCATCCAGTTTTTCTTAGTTGATGTGTTTTATTTCTTTCTGTTTCAACTGCATTAAATTCACCCTTCCATGTGAAGATGGTCCTTCCTATATGTATATTTATAATTTAATACATGCATGATTGACAGTTTACCATATTCTAGTAAGCTATTAATTAATGTTTTTTTGGTGCTTCACGAATCAGAGTTTGTTAGTATGTGAAGAAAGAATGTGATAAAATAGAAAGTGTGCCTAGCAACCCTTTTGAAAAGGTTTAGGCTAGCCCCTGCTACTTAACCCACTGATTTCCCCAGGGGCACAACCCCCAATATAATTGATTTCTATTCATTCTTTATATGACCAATTTATGCACCAAGCTATTTGCTGATCTTTGAATTCAAGTGAAGGTTGTCCTCAGCTCTGTAGTGATTTTTCATTTCTTTCACTATGTGTCTGTTAGGTGTGAGCAAATGGGTAATGAGATAAGTCAAGAGGAACTGGAGGGAGAGATCAGGAAGGGAAGGGGTGAGCTAATTAAAAAAAAGGTAATTGGATCTAAGCAGAATAGTTGACAGAGAAGTGGCAGTAGGGATGTTAATTGGTCTGTTTTTTTGGGGAGGAGAGGGTTTTGCTAAAATTTCTTTTGAGCAATTTGAAAAGAAAAGTAAAAAAGAAAGGAAAGCCAAATCAAGAGAAAAAAGCAAAAGATAAAAAAGTTGGAATGAAGAAGGTGGGGAAGAAGACCAAGTTGTAATAGGGGGGGGGGGGAGGAATGAAGATGCTAAGAAGATGGGGTGCTAGGAGATTGAAGGAAGGGTGCTGGAGGTCTTTGGTGAGGTACATGTTTTGAAATCAGAAGCTTGACATAGCTATCCTACATGAATCGAAGCTGGAATCTTTTGGCATAAGTGATGATCGAGATTCGGAGGAGAGGTTGGGGAGAGTGGGTGGGGTTAGATGCGGTTGGGTTGGCCATACTATGGGATTCAGGGATTTCAGGAAATCGAGGGAGTTGTCTGGGCTCTTGGTCAGGAAGAGCTTGGAAGCGACTGCGGCCTGGGGTGGAAAGCATATCACAAGTTGGGTTATTTCTCTTCAAGCATTTGAGCAAATCAGAGTTTTGGATTTTACGGAGATCTTTTTGGGTCTCCTTGAGATCCAAGCTTGTAATGTGTATCTTTTTAGTCTGGCTTGATAGTTTGGTGTGTCGATTGACACCTGATTGCAATGTATTGTTTTTTTAATAAAACTTTTTCTTCTTTATTCCCCAAAAAAGGGTAGGTTCTACCTGGAACTGACCTTGAACTGGCCTTGAACCGACCCAACCCAACCCGAACGACCACCCGGTGAATTGACTTTGGTTGGCCTTGGTGGAACCTGCCTTGGAACCAAACTTACCTTGAAATAAACCTCAAATGCTTTTGAGGATGTGAAGATTTGAACCCAAACACTCGTGGTTACAAAGGCCATGATCTCACTTAACCAATGGGTTACTTAAGTTATTTGATCATTTGTTTTCATTATAATATTTGAACTAGCGGAGTGCCCCTACACTGCAGGGGCTGATAAGAATACAAGAAGAACACATTAAATAGGTACTTTTATTCATATAGGCAGATTTAAAGTTAGCTATTTGAGTAAACGAAGCAAATTAATTTAGTGTTATTTAATTAGTTAACGTAGTTAATTTAATTTAATTAAATATGGTAAATCAATTAATTATTAATTTATTTAATATAATTAAATACTTAAGTTACATTAATTACTCAAATTTTAAATCAAGTAATTTTACAATTACAAACAATTACCTTAAAATAATTAATATAATCTTAAAAAATACATTTAACTACGACATTTTAACAAGTGTATATTGTTATAGGGGTTGGGGGAGGGATGGGAGGGAGTGGTTGAATTCTTGGAGAGAGAGATTGACAAAAGAGGAATTGTTTTAAAATATTAGTTTGCTTTTGTTCCATGGATTTTAATTGAGACGTTGAATAGGTGTAGATGAAAAGGTCTAGCTTGGCCCAAAAATTCTAGGCTTGGTCCTAACTATTGTGTTTAGACTTGGTTTGGGCCTGGCTCTACAAATTTTTAGCCCAAGCTTTGGCCCAATACTGTATCCTAGCCCAAGCTCACATTAGGCTCACAAATTTCCAAGTCAAGCTTGGGCCCAACCAACCTAATCCCACATAACTCAAAATTCAAGGCTTAGGCCTAGCTTTTTTGTTCAGGCCTGGCCTCGGGCTTAAGTGTGCATTAGGCCCACAAATTTCCAAGTTGGGTTTGTTTCCAATACTTCAATCCCAACTTGGGGCTTGCCTAGATGAAACATAACTAGAAGACTTAATTAATTATATTGATTAAATAAAAAATATATATTGCAAATATTTATTATCTTGTAAATAATATTAAAAGTTCATCTAATACTTCAATCCCACCCTGGTATTGCCTATATGAAACATAATTAGAGGACTTAATTAACTAATTATATTGATTAATTAGAAAAATATATTAAAAACATTTATTATCTTGTAAATAATATTAAAAGTTCATGGAGAGAGTGGTTGAAGATAAATGGAAAATAAAAAATGACCCTGAACCAAACAGGACCCGATAGGGTCTGTATATTTAGACTCAGAATCGAGCCAATCAGGTTATCGGGTCTAACCCAATAGACCTGGTTATAACAAATATATTGAAAATATTATATATAATATTAATTTATTATATATAAATTAATATTATATATAATAGGGCCTGTAATTTTTAGACATATATATAGCTTGGGTGGGGTCTGAATTAATTCATGACTGGGTGGAACCAGATTTGACCCAATAAGAATCAGGACAAAGGAGCCCTGAGAATTCACGAAATGGAATCTTTGGCTTCTTCTCTGTTCATCTTCACATGCCCAACGCGTACGGAAATTTAAATGTAAAAACCGTGTAGAAACCAATGTCATGTTAGAATTGAACCCATCTCGGTCTTGGTTTTAATGGGAGATGCATGTGTAAAAACCAACCTCACCTTATTAAACACTATTTTTCTTAACTATCGTGTAAAGACCAACATGTGGTATTCATGAGCATTTGCTAATTACAAGAATGCCATCATTTATCTCCTTGAATTTTCTACTAATTACAAAAGTGACATTATTTGTCACCTTGAATTTTTTTATTAATTACATGAGTGCCATTGAAAGAAATCATTGCCTCTTTTTTAGTTGTGCATATGATATTGAGTTTTCACGTAATTACAAGAGTGCCATCAACATTTAATTACAATATTGCCACAAAATTGTTATCACTCATTTATTACAGGTTGGACCTGATGGACCCAACCCAATTGGGTCAATTCGGTTTCGGTTCCTGATATATTGTCCTGATTCCTTTTAGGTCGGAACCAATTCCACCTAATCATGAATTAATTCAAACCCAACCCTAAATGTATAATATATTACCCCCTCTCTCTCTAGGGATATCAATGGTAAGGGTGCAAATCGATCGGAAGTTCAATCCTATATTCTCGGATTTGGATAGCCTCATCTCAAATCTTCGATCAGATCGAATCGAGTAATAGGATCCAAACAAAAATCGGATCGAATTTGGATCACCCCCCCATCCAATCCGAGAAGATTCTATCCAATATGTAGGTTATTTCTTTATTTATATAAATATATATAACACACACATATATATATATGTTATTTATTTATTTATTTATAAATATATTATTTATATTGCATTTTTGTAAAATTGTTATATTATTTATTTTTTTATAAAAAACATGTATGATGAAAATAATTGAAAAGATACTTGTAGTTTTTGTTTTTCTTTATTTAAATTGTTATATTTTGATTTTCTTTTAATAATTTATTAATTTTTAAAAAATCAAATCACATCAGATCATATCTAAAAATTAGACTTCCTCATCGGATTCGAATTCCAATCCATGTTTTATCATATCCGATCGGATTGGATTGGATCTGCAATTAATAGTGTCGGATCATATTCGGATATACCCTCATTCGAACCTGATCCAATCCGTTTGCATCCCTAGTCAATTGGTCGGGTTGGACCTGATGAACCCAAAACAATTGGGTCAGTTCGTTTTTGGTTCATGGAAGTCCTCGTGTTGCACCCCAATTTTATTAATATTTTATTTTGATTTGTATTTGCAAATTCCATTTGTTGTTTCGGCGAGACAATTGGAAACAACGCGTCAGATACTCGGACCACTTGCGGGACAATCGTCATTACTGAATGGGAACGGTGCAAGAACCGGGCTTTCGGCATTCGTCATGCATTGTGGGCCCCGCGATAGTATTGCATCTATAATGGTGTGAGCAATAATCTACATATTGAGTTACACAATTTAATCAATAAAGATAACATACGTTTTAAACTATATATTTTATTTATTAAAAATTAAGGTGCCATTTGGCATGTATTTTTTGAATGATCTTTCAGAAGATTGGACAGTCAAAAGACGTAGTGAGCTTTTACATAACGATCTTGGCAGCCCAAAGATCGTTTGGGTTTATTAGGAGTTGGTTGTCTATACATACCGTGTTTAAAGATGACATGTTTGATTAATTTTTCGAGGATGGCCTTTTTTTGAGGTCTAACTTGATAGCTATTTGTACACCTTCTCATTGTACAAAGGGTCTTTTGCTTTAATACAATCATAATTTACCTTTTCTAAAAAAATGATCGTTTGGTTGGAGGCATGTCTTTCCGCACAAAGATGAGACTTGAGCAGGTGAGAAGCTCCATTTCTAGCATTCTGAAATAAGCTCGAATATAGCTTCTTGCGCCATTTTAGGGTTCCCCCAACCAAATGGCGAAAGACTGAAAAGCAAGCTGCCAGGCTTCTAAAAAGCCAACAACCTGTGTGGAAAGACGCGCCAAACGGGACCTAAGTTTTTTAAGGACATGCTTTTTTTTTTTTGAAAGGGGAGTAAAGATAGATCAGGTTCCACGGCTAGACCCTGGTACCGACCTTGGAACTGCTAAGGCTAGAACTGACCCTGGAATTGACCTTCACAGGGTAGGTTCTAGGTTCTGCCATGGAACCGAACCGAACCGACCCATGCTCACCCCTAGTGTCTATATTTCCAGTATCCTGGGCTATTGTTTTATCCAATCCACTATTACTTGAGAGCATAGTTTTCAAGGCGCCAAGGCGAGGCTAGGCGACAGGGGGGTGCCCGCCTAGGTGATGGATTTTTTTTCTTAATTAAAAAACATATATCCTAGGGTAGTTCACTATGTTCCATAACCATATTTCCTTAATAATTATCCATAATTTTCATAAGAAAAGTATAAACTTCATGTTTTTTTTTTTGATAAGTAAAGTATAAACTTCATGTTAAGGTATAGAAAATTAACATATTCATGAGAAAAGAAGGAAGAAAGAAAAGAAAATTAAAAAATATAGGGGCAGGAGCCCTATTTTTGTTATAGGAAAAGAAGAATGTGGAAGAAGAAAATGTTTTGGTTAGACAAAATTTTAAGTTCTTTCTTATTGGTTCAGGTTATGAAGTCTTTGAGGGTTCAATAAAGCATTTAGCAATGTCTGTATTGATTAAACCCTAAGAAATAAGAAAATAATAAAAAGAAATTAGTATATAAACACAGAAATGAATATTTTTGTTTGATAATGTCTATTTTATAATTATAATCTCAAAATATTAAGAATATAAAAGTATTTTATAACATAGTGTACAAAACTGCTTGGCAATTAGGTGAGGCGAGCCTCCAAGGGTGCCTTGTTGCCTAGGCGTTGCCTTGATAGCTATGCTTGAGAGTCCCCTTCCACTCCAATATTTCTTAAGAGAGCTAGTCAATCTCAGCCCCTGTAACACTGTTAGTAGTCCAGTCCTGGTTGAGTTACCTTGGCTGATGGCTTCAGAGAAGATGGTCAGAATAATACCATGACTATTTCTGAAAACTCTACAATGCCTGATTCTCTTGAGTTGCCCAAGCTACTGCACTAGTCAAAGTTAATTTGATGAAATTATAAGCCAGGGGAGAACAATAGGTGGGTATGACATTTTTGCTACTGATGAAGTGTCAATACATGGCCATCCTCTAACGATGTCATACTTGGAAAAAGCGGGTAGAACTATTCATGGGATTCACCCAATCAGTCATAGATATGTTTTCATTTCAAATAATGCTTCTTTAGTTTGATTTTCTTCTTGAAATCTTATTGCATTTCTATCCTCTCAAAGTGTCTATAGAGTAAATTCACAGTTGTCAATTAAAAAAGAAAAAAAGAACAAAAGTTGCATTTCTATCCTCTCAAAGTGTCTATAGAATAAATGCACAGTTGTCAATTAAAAAAGAAAAAAAGAACAAAAGTAGAACTTCAACCAACATGATCCCCACTTTTTCAATTGTTCTAAATTGTAGCTGCATCTTTTTTGCAGGAATACCTTACCCAGCTGGAGGAAGCAAAGAAATATGATCATAGATTATTGGGGGCAAAACAAGAGCTCTTCTTTTGTCACCCTCTTAGGCAATGAACAAAGCTCCAAATTTAGTTAATTATACTTTGGAATTGACATTGTCTGTAATATTCACCGTTTGCATTTCCTTTCATATTTCAGTCCAGGAAGTTGGTTTTTCCTGCCATATGGCACTCGAGTTTATAACAAATTAATGGAATTTATCCGAGCTCAATATAGGGAGAGGGGTTACCAAGAGGTTAATTTTCTATATCTACATATATTTGTCTGCCCAATATTTTTCAGTTCAGAAATTGGACTCTTATTCTAGTTTTTGTCAGGTTTTGACACCAAATATGTACAATATGCAACTCTGGGAGACATCTGGTCATGCTGCAAACTACAAAGAAAACATGTTTGTGTTTGAGGTGAGGTTTTATATTTAGTTCCTTCAGATGCCAAGTTTAAGAGTTCATGAACTTTTTTTAATGATATATCAAGTATCATCAGATATTCAGATAAATTTGGTCGAAAAGGAAAAACAGTTTATACATCAACAACTTGGTGATTGCAATTTTTTTGATCAATAACAGAATCAATTTCATTAAATGAGGAAAATTAATACAATAAGAAGGGGGAAGGATAAACACTCTTAGCCCTCCCCACCTTAGAAATTACAACACAGCCCAAAATAATTATTTCTTCCCACCCCTTGTTTAGCAAATGTATCAGCAAAGGCATTTGCATCTCTTCTGACCCAATTACAAGTCACCTCTACCCCTTGTAGTAATTTAACAGCTTTCCTCTTCTTATACATGTAGCACCACCATCCAGCTTCCTCTTCTTTTCATAGCCATCTGATTACAAGCTTTGAATTGCCTTCAATTGACAACTTCCTGATATTCAGCTCTTTAGCCTTCTGAGTCCCTTCCATAATAGCCATAACCTCAGCTCTTACTGAGTCCCCAACTCCAATTGACCTGAGTAGAATGCAATGATATTTCCTTCCTTGTTCTTGAAGATTCCTCCTATGTAAGGGTGGCCACGAGCCGAGTTGCTCATGAGCTGTTCGAGCTCGGCTCGGTCTAAACCGAGCTTCGAGCCGAACTCGAGCCTAATATATAGGCTTGTTTGCTAATCAGGCCAAGCTTGAGCTTAATAAAGCTCGGCTCGTGAGGCTCGAAAGCCTAATCGAGTATGTGTACATAGGGTGTCACCTCGGCTCGGCACCTCGGCTACTAAGGGAGACCTCGGCTTGGTACCTCAGCCACTGAGGGAGACCTCGACTCAGCACCTTGATAACTGAGGGAGGCTGCAGCTCGGCAGCTAAGGGAGACCTCAGCTTGGCACCTTGGCTTCTAGGGAAACCTCAGCTCGACACTTCAGCAGCTGAGGGAGACATCGGCTCAGCACCTTGGCTGCTAGGGAGACCTCAGCTTGGCACTTCAGCAGCTGAGGGAGACCTGTAATCAAAGGTAGCTGAGCTCGAACTTCTGAGCTTTTGACTCGAGCTGAGCTCGATCTCTAGTCTCTAATTTGAATCGAGCTCAAGCTTGAACTCAAGCCTGATAGTTTATGAGCGAGCCAAGCTCGAATAGCTAGATATCCGGCTCGGCTCGGCTCGGCTCGAATCCACCCCTACTCCTATGCTAGATGGACCTGAGCTGCCTTCGCTACTACCACCAAAGTTGAGCTTAATGAAGCCACTAGGGGGTGGATACCAAACAGGTCTAACCACCTCCTTATCGGGAGCAGAATCAGCTACCTCTCTCCACTTCCTCATCAGTGCCCAACACATCTTTAAAGATATCCAATGACTTCACCCAGTGAACCACCTTGAGGGTAATAGCTTCAATGACAACTTCTCTGCCTCTTTTTTTTTCAAGGAATATTCTTTGGTTCCTCTCTCCCAAATAGTCCAATACACTGCTGTCCTAATGCATCTCCAAAGTAGTCGTCCCCTCTTCTTTGACCAGCTTAGGAAAGTAGAAGCAAATAGGCTTTGTACATTAGGCGGAGGGTTCCACCTGCACCCAAATAAAGAAAAGAACCATTCCCAAATTGAAGAAGAAAAAGGGCAGGAGATTAATAAGTGATAACAATTCTCACGATTGGCTTTGCAAAAGGAGCACCAGTGTGGAGAAAGGCACCAATTGGGTCTTTTTCTTTGCAATATCTCACAAATATTTATTCTTTCCAAATACATTTCCCAGCACAAACCACCCACACTGAGTAGGTTTACTCCAAACCACCCACTTGGTGATTGCAATTTGAAGCTAGTGTTGTCAATGCCAGTATTTAGAATAACAGAATATATTCTTATTTTTATGTAGAAGTGACTTTTCTTTTTCTATTTTGTGTCATTAGTTATTTTCCCTTCTCTGTTATTTTCCAATGAGATGAAATTTGCTTCCTTTTTTCCTTGTGTTCTTTGCAGGTTGAGAAACAGGAGTTTGGACTTAAGCCAATGAATTGCCCTGGGCATTGCTTAATGTTTGAACACAGAGTTCGTTCATATAGAGGTGAACTTATCTGTTTAAGTCATTGACTTTATCTCTTTATCTATTTGTTCCCCATATATACTATTCACGCAAGTAGAAGTTGTTCATTGCTTCTTTTAGATTGTTTACTTCTTTGTGCTTAATTCCATGTTGAGTTTGATTGAGTTAGCTGACCTTATTGGTGGTATTCAATAGATGGTTATCGTTTCAATGCTGAAACTAAACTATGCAGATTCAAGTGTAATGTTCAACAGTTTAACATCAAAAGGTTCAACTAAAATGATGTAGGATAGGGGTGGGTAATTTTTCATGGTTAAAGCAATGATGGGGCTATATAGTAGGGATTAAAGGGAAAACAGGGAAAATCTTGATTTTTTTGAAGATAAATAAAGAAGAAATTTGATTAGAAAGAAAAAGAGAAATGATTACAAGGGGTGATGACAGAAAAGGCACCACACCAAACCCAATAATCAACCTAGCCACCCCTAATGTTAAACACATTGCCGTCTACCACAAGCCAAGCCCAAATAAACCCTCAAAACCACCCACCATCAGAACCCAAAATTATGCAATCGAAGCCCAACTTAACCTTTCCTCCCATCTTTCCCAGAGCCCAGCATAGTAGTCCACTCAAACAAATTCTTCTCCCCGAATACTGATATCAGAACTCATTCACTTGACCTTCATTGGATGAAAATCTCTCTCTCTCTCTCTCTCTCTCTCTTCTCTTCTCTTCTCTCCAAATCTTTTCTTGTCTTCTTTACCCTTGTGTTAATCTGACCCTAAATATGCCTCCCCTCAATCTAGCAAAAACCTTCAAAACTGTCGCAGTTCAGTTATTTTTTCTGGTATCTGAATCTTTTAACTGCTTCAGGAATGGCCTTAATACTCTTCCTCACATAATTGTCATTAATCCCTTCTAGCTCTAAAACTGCATGCTTCTCAAATACTTGCTTCGCTGTCAAAACCGCGCTTTTCCACCTCTTCAACTCAAGACCTATCAACAGGAATTGGAGTGTCCTTATTTTCCAAAATGGAGAAAAACTTGTTCAAGAAATGGTTTTTCTTTTTGGAAAGCTAATATTGCCATAGGTAAATGCATTGGGGGGGGGGTGCCTGGTTCATTAGTCTATTGTTTTTCAGGTTATGACCTGCTAAAAGAAAGCTGATGGTTACTTGCAAACTTGGGCAGTTGTATTCAAGTTTAGAGAGAGAAGAAAGGAGCACCAGTAAAAGATAAATAGCAAAGAATAGATGGCCAATAAGAAGAATAATAAATAGGAGGAAGAGGTGAAACCCTACCACTTGGTACTTCAAACACTATTTTGAACCTTCTTCCATCTTCAGATTTTTCCTAAGCAAATTGTATTAGAGACCACAAGTATATAGTAATTGTGGTCGGCTCAGCCCCTATAATGTTGTTTTTTTTATCAATAACTGTATCAGTTCACTTGTAGTCAACAGACTCTCAGAGCAGGAAGCGGAAACTGTCCAACAGTGAAGGTTGGATCTGGGTCATTATGAGATACAAAGGGGATGAGAAGATTGGGGTTTGGGAGGGAGGGAAACCGAAGCTCCTTTGAACAGACACAGGCGAGTGTGAAGAGGGAGAGATCTCAGCAGCACCAGGAAGAAAGAAGTCTCTAGTGAATGACAATCATGCTCCAGAGACAATCGTAACAAAGGTTACAATTGTTTCTGGAGTAAGGGAGGAAGAAATTGGGGTGGGGACAGTAGATGAAGGCAAAGAGGATGAAGTGGAGGCGGCCATAACTTCAAACAACAAAGCTCTGCCTCTGGTAGGGATCAAGGCAGTTCCAGGCAGATTTGAAGATGTTTCGGCAGGAGGTGAGTGAGATCAACGTGGAAGGCCTATCCCCCGGCTCTTTCCCTTATCGTTCTTCTTCCCCTGGAGCATCTTCCGTTTCAGCCTCACCTCTGTTTTGGAGTAATACTGGGGCTGTTTCCGATGGGGTAGGGAACACTATATCCATGTCAGGGGGCATGAAGTCTTGTACCAAAAGAAAAAGGGGGGGGGGTGGAGGAAACAAGTAGAGTCTATAATAGGAAGAAAAAAACAATGAAGCTTGGGGAGAGGAAGCAGGGGAAGGAGGGAGCTGGAGTGGAGGAGCTGAGGGACGAGGTAGAAAACAATCAGGAAGAAAGAGAGAAGGTGGTAGAGAGGAAGGAGACATCAGTGGGTATCAAAGAACTAGTAGAAGGATAGATATAGGTAGGCAAAGCCTTGGGTCTGTTTTTTCTAGGGGGAGAAGAAGTGGGGAGAAAAACTATTGATCAGTGTGAGAGGTCTAGAAGGGAGAAACAAGAAGGAAGAGATAATGGGGGAACTGCTGAAGGAGGGGGGAGGGGAGACATGCAGGGCTGACGGAAGAGGAATAGAAGGGCAGAGAGAGGGGGAGAGGGGAGCTGCGAAAATGAAGCTTCTATCTTGGAATGTAAGGGGTCTAATAGATGGGAAAAGGGGAGAAGTGGTCAAGAATCTTCTGAGAAAACACAATCCAGATGCTGTTTTGTTGCAGGAAACAAAATTGGAATATTTTGATTTAAGGTTGAAAAATGAGATATGAGGGCCAGATAGAGGAGAATGGGCTGAGGTGGATGCAGTGGGTCTGTCAGGGGGTATGGTGGTATTGTGGAACATATGGAAGGAAAGAAATAGCAAGACTTTCAAAGATAAGGTTTGTAGCATGGAGAAGATGGTTGTGGCTGCGAGCAGATCAGTGGTTGAATGGATGTTGATTCTCCCTGAATTCAGTCAATTAAACAAGGAGGATTTTGGGAGTGGGTTGGGACAGGTCCTGGGATATCAAATATGTAATGCAGAGCCTTTTATCTAGGTTGTTAGATGGCTTTTTTGTTTTGTTTGGTTTTCTTTTTTCTCGGGTGCTGTCTTATCACCTTTTTTTTGAAGGGTCAACCAAGTCACATCTTGAGCAAGAAGGTACATTGGCTGAAAGGCAATATCAAGAAATAGCAGTGGGATAGGGTGTTAAATGATGAAAAATGGAGAGCTGATTGTTTAAAAATTATAATTGAGATCGATTCAGAGGAGGAAGGTGGAGTTGTAGGGGAGGCTAAGTGAGTGGAGAGACTCAAGGCTAAGAAAGATTATGATTCTCTAAACAGGAGGTGAAATGGAGGCAGAAATCCATGGCTCTTTTGTTGAAATTAGGGGATAATAATACCACCTTCTTTCACAAGTTTGCTAATGCAATGAGGAAGAATGACATCAAGAGACCTTGGTGAGTCATTTTAAATCAATCTTTAGAAGATGCCACGAGCAGGAACTTGGAGAGAGTTTGAGGTGGATGAGTTGAAGGAAGCAATCTTTTCTATGGATCACTTTAAGGCACCCAGGCCTGATGGCTTTACTATGGCTTTCTACCAAGATTGTAGGGAGTTGATAAAGGGTGATCTTATGCAAGTCTTTGAGGAGTTCTATCATAGATGGATTGTTAGCAGGGAGTAAAAGCTACTTTTATTGCGTTGACCGCAAAGAAGTTTGGTGCTTGCCATTTGAAGGACTTCAGGCCAATCAGCTTGGTGACGAGTCAATACAAAATCCTAGCCAAGGTCCTTTCCCTTTGGTTAAAAAGGCCCTCTTGTCAATCATCTCTCAATTTCAAGGGGCTTTCATCCAAGATAGACAAATTTTGGACCAAATACTTATTGCCAATGAATGTGTGAAGGAGTTTAAGAAATCTGGAAAGGAGGGCATTTTATGTAAATTATATCTAGAGAAAGCCTTCAATTTTGTGGATTGGGAGTTCTTGATTGAGGCACTAAGGAAATTTGGTTTTGGAGTATGATGGTGCAAATGGATTAAAAGATATTTGCAATCCTGCCACTTCTCAGTACTAGTAAATGGAGTAGTCAAGGACTTCTTTGGTGCCCTAAGAGGAGTGAGACAAGGGGATCCACTATCCCCCTTCCTTTTCACCATTTCAGCAGAGGTGTTTAGCAGACCAATTTCAAAGGTGGATGAGGTGGGTCTTTTAAAGGGGTGGAGATTAGGACGGGAGAGAGTGGTGGTAACTCACCTACAATTTGTTGATGACATCATTATCTTTTGTGAGGGTGAAGATGGGTTAGGTGCAAGGAATCTAAAGATGCTGATGAATCTATTTGAAAGAGTGTCAAATCTAAAAGGTGAACCTCATTAAATGTGTGGTGGTGGGGATCAACTTAGCTCAAGAAGAGATCAACTTATGGGCTGGGGAGCTAGGCTGCTTACAGAGTGATTGGCTGCTGGAGTATCTAGCCCTTCCCCTCGGTGCAAAACCTAGAAATTTAGATTTCTGGAATCCGGTAGTGGAAAGGTTTGAAAAGAAGTTGGCTGCGTGGAAGAGGAGTTATATTTCTATCAGGGGCAGGATTACTCTCATTAAGTCTACCCTTGCAAATCTTCCAGTGTATTACCTCTTGGTGTTCTATATGCCTCAAGTTATATGCCTCCAGCTGTAATGGAATCTCCCCATTCAATAGGGCCCGAATACAGCCCCACTACTTTCCCCATGTCATCTCTCATGACCCCACCAATTCCAGCCACACCTGGGTTGCCAAAGCTGTTCCCATCAAAGTTTAATTTGAGGAATCCAGATTCAGGAGGAACCTAATTTCTTAAAACCTTCTTTTTTGCTGATGACGAGGATGCTACAGTCCTCCAGTTCCTGATTATATCATCAGAAGTAAAGTTTGAGAATAATCCCATAGATTTTACCCATGAGATCACTTTTATCATAACCCCTTCTATCAGTAATTCCTTATTCCTTTTCTTTCCTTAAAAAATTCTCAGATTTCTTTCCTCCCATAACGTCCAAAGCATTGCTGTCCGTGTGCATCTCCACAGAGTTCTTCCTCTTCTTTTTGGCCACCTGAAAGTGGAGGTGTCAAAGAGTCTTTCCAACCATTCCTAAATGCAGCTAGCAACAGGACAGGAAACAAAAATATGATGAACAGTTTCACCATTTGATTCACACAAGCAGCACCAATTGGGTGAA